CCTCTGCGAATTTACGTACTGGACAACTTTCATCGCCTGTTTTGTGGTTACATTTTCTTTTAAAATGTTTGCACGTCGCGCAAACGGGGACATGCGATTTATTATTACATTCCTTAAAGGAATGCCCGAACTCTCCACAGTTAGGGCTAGGGCTACTTTCCCGACAAAATTTGGCTGAATGACCAAACTGCTGGCAGTTGAAGCATTTTGTTACTATTTTAAAGTCTCTGACTAGGCATGAGGTCCAATTAATATATATTGGTCCTTGATTGATAAAGGCCTTCTTAATGCCAGGTAGGTACTTCGGCAATGTAATTGCAAGTAGGAAGGTTTTTCTTACCTGATTTATGGCTCAGTTTGACTGCCAGGAAGGACTCACGTGTGACATTACGGAATGTATCAGCAATATTTTGTTCAAAGATGCACTCGAACACTTCTTTATCAGTGAGGGCTACAGGGACACCAACAATTGCAATCCTTGGACGTCATTTAGTTGGCTCTTCCATGGTAAGGTGTACAAGTACAACAAGCAACAAGCTTCTCGGAGTTCTTTAATTTGTCGATATCTCCTTTTATCTCATCGCTAATTATAACTCCCCCATTTTTTACCTTCCTCATGCCCCGGACATGTAGTTTGAGTTCTTCTGGGGATATTATCTTCTGTAAGAGGCACTTCGTGTCATCACTGGTTTTAGACTTATCTCTCGGATAAATTGCTAGGGTACTAAGATTGTTTGGGCGGATGAGGGTTTCTTTTTTACCTGAGGGTCTTTTTTACCATGTCCGCAATAGTGGTTCCAGTGTCCGGTTTTTGAGGGACATGTACTGGACAACCAACTGTGGTGTACTGTGACTTACTTTTCGACAAAGCGAGCTGATACGCATTGTTTGGTCGGAGTTAAGTTTTCCATCTGTAGCGATGGAGCACACCTCGTTAAGGCACTGTTCAATGGTTGTCATCCAACGCTGTAACTCAGGAGTAGGAGTTGCTTTGATTGCTTCGCTTAAATTGGGTGTCTGCATGGGTGGGGTTGATGGAGGCGGGATGCGAGTGGTCCTGGCACTCCGGTTGAAGGGGTTTTTCTCCATTTTAGTACTTATTTTAGTACTTTTAATAGATAAAGCTAAACATTCCCACTAAATCACTAACACATATAACTAAAGTATGTCACAGTTATTACCGGTATTGTTATAACGAGGTCACGGCTATGTACATACTTATTTAATTATTTTAATTATTATTGGATACGTCTGTACACAATAACGTGCACTTACAATGTACTTCATTTTATAAAACCGAGCGGTGTTAAATTGACTATAATTATGAATGACTAAAATACTTAAAATGAGCTACTAACAGTGGAAAACACTTATTCTAAGCTATTAACTAAAATTCCAAGTGTCCGAATTAAATACCAAATTGGGTGAAAAAATACTGAGTGAGTGACAGTAGGTTTAAGGTGCACCCTAAAGCCGCGTATATTTACGTGATATAAATATAATATTGAAAGTATGAACTTTTTAATTAAAATAATTCAAAAAGTATAAGTCAAAACACTTCGATTAGGGTATAACGCAGCACTTTTGAAATAAAATATATACTAGATGTTGAATGTAATGTGAGCTGCAAAATTGTTACATAATAGAAATTTATACTGATCGTTCTGAATAACTCAAATTCATATTTTCAAGGCGTCGTTTTCAATATTTTGTGTTCGCCCTCAGTCTTTCCTCTATTTAGTATTTCAGTGCGCCATAATCAGTATTTTTTACCCCTTTAGTTTGAATTTATATTCGGTCATTTAAATACCACCCGTTTTAAATTAAGAAAATAGAATAAAAGAGGTTTCAATCTGTATATAAACTTTTTATGGTAACTAAAAAGATTTTAAGCAGGTTGCAGACAGTACCTATATTAAAGTGATTTTTTATATGATTGAAGCCATCAGACTCTAACCTTTGTTCGGCACAAAACTTTATTATAATTGATATTCCGAAGTGTAAGTAAATTAAATAAAAAAAAATATAAATGAAAGTAAAGTGTCTTTTTTAAAAAGGCGAACCATCCTCAAAGAACGTAGTTCGGTAATTTATATATGGAGAAAATTTTACTGTATCGTGTATTGTAAGGAGAAAGAATGTATCTAAAATGTTTTTTTTTCAGACTCTAAATGTAATAATTTGGCTATATTAAACCAATTTTAAAACGGACAAAAACAGGAACACCAATCCTTAAGGCATGCAATAACTTAGATAAAACTTGTAATTAAAATAAAATCTTTTGTCATAATCATATAACTTTATTTTTATAAATACATTCTGAATACATACTACATTAAAGTTGTCATTAATAAATAAACGATAACTAAAATATTTTAACGTGCACTGTAATGAATATTTAAAAAATTAAACATAACTTTCAAAATAAGAGGTAGGTATATATATAATTGGAAAGTTATTTTATTTATTATATTCATGAGCACAGTGAGATAGCCAAGGCCTTCCAAGCTAACTTCAGGGTGGACTCGCCTCTTGGGCCTGCAGCTGCGATGTGTGAGGATGGGTATCGTACTGACAAACTTAATGTTAGATTCTCGGCGAAGGATGTGGCTCGTGTAATTAAGGGCATGGTACGGGGTAAATCATGACCACCTCAGCATAGAGCATCTGCAGTGTGCGGGAATCTATCTACCTAGGGTCCTATCTTTGTTATATAATTTCTGTCTCAGCCATTCTTACCTGCCTGATGACCTTATGCGAACCATAGTTGTGCCAGTTATTAAGAACAAGTCGGGGAATCCGTCGGACTTGACAAATTACAGACCACTTTCACTGGCTACTGTGGTGGCAAAGGTGCTGGACAGTTTGCTTGATGAACACTTAAGTAGTCATATAAAATTTAATGATGCACAATATGGTTTTCAACCAGGTCTGTCCACCGAAAGCGCTATTTTGTGTCTCAAGTAAACTGTCAAATACTAGACTGATAGAAGCTCTCCAGTCTTTGCCTGTTTTCTTGATTTGTGCAAGGCCTTCGATTTGGTGTCATATGACTTATTATAGAAAAAACTTCAAAGTGAGACTGATGTGCCGCACGAGTTAGTCGCGGTGCTACGATCGTGGTATGAACGGCAGACCAACTGTGTTAGATGGGTGAACTCATACTCCGATGTGTATAGACTTGAATGTGGGGTCAGGCAAGGTGGTCTTACATCTCCTAGGCTTTTCAATATGTATATTAATGGCCTGATCGAGGAGTTAAGCGACACAAATGTAGGCTGTCATATTGATGGTGTTTGTGTTGACAACATAAGTTACGCAGACGATATGGTGCAACTCAGCCCTTCGATTGGTGCCATGCAGAAATTATTAAATATATGTGAAGCATATGCAATGTTCCATAGACTCAGATACAATGTGAAAAAGAGCGAGTTTATGATGTTCAAGGCGGTAGTGAAATCCCGACCATGTGCGACTACCTTCACACTCAATAACTCACCTCTAAAGCGTGTCTCACATTTTAAGTATCTGGGTCACTGGGTCACCGAGGATCTGCGTGATAATATGGATATCGACCGGAAACGTAGAGCGCTGTCCATCAGGTGTAAAATGGTGGCCCGTAGGTTTGCTCGTTGCAGTAGGCAGGTAAAGATTACTATTTTCAAAGCCTACTGCCAGTCTTTTTACACGGGCAAGGCTTTTTAACGGGTGTACACCGCGTTACGTGTCCAGTATAATAATGGGTTTAGGATGCTGATGGGGCGGCTGCGCTTTTGCAGCGCGTCAGTTATGTTTTCTGAAATGCACACTGATGGTTTCCACGCCATTATTAGAAAGCATGCTGCATCGATGCTGAAACCTTTGCGTGGCAGCTCCAATAGCATTCTCAACACAATGGCAGATAGGTGGGACTCGCCGCTGCTTGAGCGTTGGGTACGGATACATGCCACGGTATAAGTCACCGGTATCCTCGTGGCGGCTGGTCTCAAACATATCCATTTACATTTTGTCATCATTATTTATGTAAATTAATTTAATTACTAACACTATAATTTAAGTTATATTTCATTTCACTGTTACTAACATTCTTGTATGGGTCCTGTGTTGCTTTAAATAAAAATATTTATTTACTTTACAACTTATTTATATTTATTTATTTTCAAGACTGTGATTTGTTACTACTATATTAAGGCTGAAATCGTTAAAAATTCATTTCACGTTAAGCTCCCATTTAAAAATTAGTTAATTCATGAAATTTTTGCTTTACTTAGAACTTTTCCTTAAAATGATTTTTTTTTATAGGATAAGGGTGACAAACGACCACACAGTCCACCTGATGGTAAGTGGTTGCTGCGGCCCATAGACATCTACATCCATCCTCGTTTGCGAATCAAAATGCAGCTGCGTTGTCACCCGTGAGGACTAAGATGTAATGCCTCATTTCCAGTAAAAAGGGCCTCCGGCCACCTGCACTCACCAAACGAAACGCAGAGGTAAACCTCTACTTCACGCTGGTATTCTGTGAGGTCGTGGTACCACCCTGGTTCGAGCCGGCCCATCCGTGCGACAGCAAAAGTTACCGCGTGGCTCTACCACTGTTAACAAGAGTGTAACCACTAACAATAGGTCATGGTTATTATTGAGCGGTAAGAACAGCTACAATACAAAACAAAAAAAACCTTAACGTGCTTAAGCTTATAAAATATAACACAACTATATGAAAAGAACGTATATTTACAATAAAAAATTATAGTTTATTTTAAAAAACAGCAACTTAAAAAAATACTTTTCAGGAACGCTAACACGATCTTTAAATATTAAATAAATTATCAGAGATATCTCTAACAGTATTTCTACTTGCCTAACCCAGATATTGAATTAAGTTATACAGCAACATCTATCATAATTAAATTTTTATAAAAAATACTGTAATTTGTTTTCTTGTATTTAAAGATCAATTTATATCATTAACATTTTGGTGTCCATTTACTTTAAATATTTTAATCATCTTCGACTTCTTTACTATATTTCCACAAAGCTTCCGTTATCTTTGGTAAAATTTCTTTACTTGTTAATTTACTATACGGAACATCAATATGGTTCCATAGAAAATCGTCTTCTACAATATAATGTTCAATAACATTTGGCAATTTACTTGTTAACCATTCTACATCTGCAAGTGTAGTTAAAAAATCATTTCTCCCATTAATTAGAACTGTTGGAGTCGTTGTCGCACTTAAATTATAAGCTGGAGGTTTATTGGAATTGTAAGTTTCCAGATTTGCCACAGTTCCATAATCGAAATTTTGAAAATTATCAGCATTTAGAGATTGACTATACCATACCATATTTTTGACTGAAGTTCCAGCTGGAAAATGACCTACAAGGACGCGAATGGTTTCCGTCTCTACTGAGTCTGGATGGGGCGAATCTAAAATACTCATAATCGCTCTGCATAATGTATCTGCGAGTATGTAATCTTTACAAATAAATGCAGCTGCCTGTTGCACTATACCACCCAAAGGTAAAGCTTCGTAAATACCTATTTCAGTTAATAAGGGGTAACTGACTGCATACGCCTCGGTTATTAATCTAAATGCAATGGATATGGTATATAAATTTCTTGCACTTGGTGCTAAGAATATACCTACTTGAACTTTGTCACAGTATACCTGTCTCTCGGAACACATTATAAAGTAAATGCAGGCACCTTGCGAGTATCCGACATAATTAATTGTCTCGGATGAGGTGTAATTTACAATATAGTCAATTATAGCAGGTAAATCGAAGCGTCCCATTTCATTTACAGAAAACTCCCAAAAATCGATATCCGTATTTGAATTAAGTGTTTCATGTCTCTTTCCGTAATAATTTCCTCGTACATTCCCTGCCCATAAATCGTAGCAGTCATCCGAAATGAGGTATGCCAGTCCAGCACCTGGACCTGAATCCAACCAGAGATCAGAACTCATTAACAAGCCATGCATAATTAAAACAGGAGGTTCTTTTAAAGGTCCTTCACAATTTTTTCCTTTCGGTATCCTAAATATTGTCAGGACGTATCCATCTTCTGTTACTACCGTGTGTTCTTCAGTATGATATCCGTGCACTGAAGTAAGTTCTGTAAAATTAAGTAGAGAATCCAAAGGATATCCTTCAAACAATTTTATTTCTCTTATTGTAATAAAACTATCTGCTATTACATTATTATTATTAATATGGAAAAAAATAAAAGGTAAAACAATATAAATGTCTGTTCTCCACAACATCTTACTAAATGTTTAAGAAATTATTTCTTAGTCTATTTATTTGTAGACTTTACATTAATAGCTATATATTTATAGGCTTACTTTATCTAATTGTTCTATTGAAGTAAGGTTTCTAAATTACTCACTTGTACTATGTATCTAATCAAGGACTTTTAAATTTGTTTTTAATCTAAGCGAATTTGTATTCAACAAAAATATCATGTCATTGTGTTCTCATGACACGTACCATAATTACATTGTATAGTTACATCTAGTTACATTTTATGTTGTAAATAGACTAAAAATGCATTATCAATATCTAATAACTAATTAGTCATTAAATGACAATAAAATAATATTTAACTCTATAAAATATCTAGTATTTTTATCATTGAGACTAAGCGTAAAACATCCAGGCCGATGATGGGGATCAACAAACAATCAACGGCAACGGAACAAAATATCTAGGCCTCTCACCAATCTGAATACCATTCGTGGTGATTATTGGGAATCTTCTCTAGAATGGGGTAGAATGGGTTCTAAAATTAGGTAAGATAATACTAATAATATTTACCCGATCGTTGCAGCAGCGTGCACTATTACATTGACTTCCTGAAAATCATCAACGGGTCAAGTTCGTACAAACCAGGGATGTTATGGAGCTCCGTAACCGTAACCGAAACTATCATTTATCCGAAATAAAAAAAAACTATCTGTAACCGTAACCTTATCCGATATAAAAGTTTCGGATAATTTCGGATAGGCACTAAGTCTAAATGATACTTTATGTTAGGGTAAATTTTTAGTTTTTGTTGTTCAATAAGCAAAGACTTGAAGACTGATTGATGTGTTGTAGTTGTTCCTAGAATGATATTGAAGAATATAATAATAAAGAACTAATAGCATTGTTTTATTATTGATGATTAAAATGTAGCTTTAATAATTACCTAAGTAAACGACTGATTGTAATACCAAATGATAACCTAGAAATAAAGCCAAATGATTACCTTTGTATTTTACTTTTCTAATCCGATCCGAAACGGATAATCCGAAATAATTTTATATCCGTTACCGAAACCGAAACTGATATAATATTATTCCCATATCCGTATCCGTATCCAGATTCGAAATGTCATATTCGTAACATTCCTGGTACAAATCTACCAGGCTTAATGACTTCACCGATGACAATGTGCAGCTTTGCTAGGATTGGCGCCAGTCCACCACGGGAATCCCAAACTTTGCAAACAGCTACGGAAAAAAATTATATTGTTTATGTGCCTTAAATATAACAAAGAAATATATCAAAGAAATATAAAATATATGAGCTATTTTGTTAGCCTTAAGTTACAGCCTTTATACGTCCCAATGCTGCACCCAGAGTTCTCACATTTCTGAGAGAGTAATGGAGCGATAAGTCCCCCGTGCTCATCCATTGCATGTTGGAGGACTTCACACATTCTCGAAATTTATTCCTTAGACATGCAACTTTTCCTACAGTGTTTTCCTTCACCGTCGAGCATGTTTTAAATAATTACTTAAAATTACAAGGAACCCAGCTCTGGTTGCTCGGGAATCAATAGAGAATACTTTACACACCTCTTTGATTTGCTGCCGTTATAGTCATTACGGCAGAATAGCTTAAGGACCTTAGCACTATACTCAATGTTCTCAATAGTGTCTGCTAACGGTTGAGTTTTAGGTTGAACATGGACAAGACAAACGATACATGTAAGCTCAATGATGCCCTTAGTTGTTTGAAACACACACGCGAAATTTTTGATGAGTATTTTTTCCTAGGACAAACTGTAACGTACCAGGTAATTTCGACCAAAAAGTCAATCGAAGAATCTTACTCAGCGGGTAGTGTTCAGGAGATTACGACACATATTATGGTTACCTAGTACTCTAAAACCTTAACACTAGAGTCAATCAACAGTGCGAGTTTCCAGTGATGACAGTGGTCCTTCACTGCCTCTCGTATGAGGAAGCGCGAGGTCGCTTAGCGGACTATGGGCAAGACTGTGCTCGGAGTGTCCCTGCATGATAAAATCCGTAACAGTAATATCTGTAGTTGAACCAGAGTAACCGACATTCCCAAAGCTGAGTTACATAAAGTGGCAATAAGTTAGCCATGTAACTCGACAAACCGACAACCGATGTAGAAAGAAGGTTCTCGAAGTATAGGACGGCTCCCACTAGATGAAGTGAAGACCTTGTAAGACATGCAGTAAGTCGATGGATATAGGTGCCGCAAGATCGTGCTTTGTGGCATTACTTGAGGAAGGCCTACGGGAAGGGAGGCCGTTCGGCAGTAGACTTGGAAAGAGTTGTAGTGATTGATGATGGCGATGGTAGTTATTCATTATTATTTTTCTAAAAAACGCTTTAGCCGGTGAAAGGAAAAGGGGAGATCTCCCGCCGAGCAAAGTGATAGACCAGTGGAGCGGCCAACGCTCCGAGTTCGGAGCTATTTATATATACTTCTTTTAATTCGAACCCTTTTTCTCGGGAATGACAAGCATTATCGAGTTGAAATTAAGATCAACTATAATAACTAAAGTCCCGTCCCTTGAATAAAAAAATCAAGCTTCTCAATCAACGCAATCATAAGATACGCCATTTGTAACTCACTCATTAAAACCTATGGGTTCTTTCCGTTGACCTAGAATCTTAAAATTTGACAATAATTAAAGCCTCATGACACAATGTGAGATTGTAGATATATTACATAAAAAATATTTAATTAATATATAATTAATATTTTCTTTTTGAGAGAAAGTTTTTTTCTACTGCAAGACTTACCTTTCCGTTAGAGTAATTGTTCAGTGCTTATACGTTACCTATATTTAATGAATTTTAATAAGTTATTTTATAATTATAATAACTCTAGGCCAAATTTTGGTCACGGTGGCAGGTCACAACGGCGGCTAGCCATCCGCGCGGGACAAGATTGTAATGCTCGAGCGTAATCGCAAACACAGGTGCATTCTTTATACCCTCACTTTAATAGTCCGATAGGATGGCGATCCGACACGACTGGATAGAGGTCAAACGAGAGACCAACGCCATAACGTGCTTTCCAAGGCACAGGGGTGTAACACCGCCTATTTCCGGACTTCGGACTACTAGAGGAAAACTCAACAACTTCAGAACCTACCCAGGATTTGAGCCCTATTGTGCACTATTTGTGTCGGACTTACGACCACTAAAGTTAATTATATGTATGTTTTGTTGAAATTAAGTACCTGCTTTTATTTATTGCTATTATTTACCTACTATACAAATCTATATAAATCAATAAAATTTAAGTGTCTGTTTGTAATGTCAAAATAACAGCTTTTTACTAAATGCATATGAAAGTATTTACGGTACTTATAACAAAAAAAATTTTAAAATGTTTGTCTGTCTGTCTTTATGTCTCTCTGTTTGTTCTGGTTAATCTCCGAAACGGCTGGACCGATTTTGACGGGATTTTCACTGAGGATTAGGCTAAAAAAGCTAATATATATTTTTATCATCTATGTATGTATAATATCCTATTATGTTATACATATATAGGATATTATACGCAACTTCATGGTGTATAGACACACGATTTATGGCGCAGCGTCATTCAGTCAGTCGTCTTGATGCATTTACTTGTATTTAAAAAAAATAATGTTAATTCAAAATGGGTACCTATTTTATTTTATTATAAGGTGCGCAGAGTCCGAGTCGGTCCCAACAGTATCCTGATGATTATAGAAGGCAGATTAGAGACCTTCTCTATTTATTCACTGCTCTAGACTCCATGTCCCTAGCACCTACTTACTTACACATATGGATCTTGGTCACTCAAATAAATAAATAAAAATAAAATGAATTATATTTGTTTTCTGAAATTTGGCAATGTCTCTAGAGATAAATTACTTCGTTTATGTGATTGATTAAATTGAAATTACAATATCAAAACAGTGTCAGCCAGCAAACAGGAACAATTAATTTATGCCTCGGAATAAGATACGATGAAGATATGAGAGTGAAAAAATGTGTTGTTAGTTTTAATCAAACGTAACAATATTAGCTCATTTGTGTGCACGAAGACGAGCGAGCCTTACTTGTAGTTGTGTTGTGTAGGGACATGCGTGCTTGTATGCGAAATGCAGGTAGTATTAGGCAGTTCATCGTATTTGTACAAAATATAATTATTACATCTATAAATCCCTAATTACGTTTATTATTATTATTGAGTTGTTATCCAGATTTCAAGCCCCAAATGAGGCTATATATAGGTTTAAACTTAGTTCATTTAACTTTAACTTTATTTATAAGTGTAAACGTTTAGCTATATAGCACAATAAAATCGGTTACTACAAAAGCAATCACCTTGGATCTTTGTAACTTTGCATGAATTTCTATTGTCTCTGTCATTTGACGGCCATAAAATAAGCTATACAACTAAAGTAACGTCCTATTGCATGATAGACACATTAATTATTGTCTTACGTTAACGTTTTTTCACATTTATTGCTTATACTAACAATTTCTAGAAATAAATTTGTATAAATGAAACACTGTACTCGATTAAAAACAAATTTATTTAATCACTTTCACTACAACAGTTCAGCTGTTGTTATCATCATCGTTGTTCACATTATTATTTGATTTTCTATAATCCATTTAAAATGAATATCTCTGTGATAGTCCTCCATAGCAATTTTCTTTGTTTTCTCCACCATTTTGGCCCAGTCATCCCTTGTACTACTACATCGTTGTTTTATTTACAAATCCTCCTCCGTTGGATCCCAAATGGCAAATTATGAGGTGCCCAACTTTTACCACGGACACGTGTCATCTATCCATGTCTTCGGCACAGTGTGGTAGGCGTTTAGCCATGTTTCATCAATAAATAAAATTGATGAAACATGCCTAAAAAATTTGTTATATTTTTTAGCCATATTTCACCAATCTATAATATAAAAATGAATCGCTGAATGTGTTGCTGAGCGCAAATCTCGAGAGCAGCTGAACGGATTTCG